AATATTCTTATTTTTCGTCTAAAAATTGTTGTAAATATCAATTTAGAGTGAATAATCTTCAGTAGCTACTAAAATATCGCAGTTTTGGTATTTCCGAAAATTACGGTTACATGGGAAGTGGGCGTGGTTATTGTCCGATTTTTTAAATTTTCGGCCATTTAGTATTCTGTACCAAGGCCTACAACTGTGCTAAGCTTGGAAGAAATTGGGGCAGCGGTTACCAAGATATACACATGTAACCATAAAGGGGCGTGGCTACGCCCATTTTCCAAAAATGTATAATATTCTCATTTTTCGTCTAAAAATTGTTGTAAATATCAATTTAGAGTGAATAATCTTCAGTAGCTACTAAAATATCGCAGTTTTGGTATTTCCGAAAATTACGGTTACATGGGAAGTGGGCGTGGTTATTGTCCGATTTTTTAAATTTTCGGCCATTTAGTATTCTGTACCAAGGCCTACAACTGTGCTAAGCTTGGAAGAAATTGGGGCAGCGGTTACCAAGATATACACATGTAACCATAAAGGGGCGTGGCTACGCCCATTTTCCAAAAATGTATAATATTCTCATTTTTCGTCTAAAAATTGTTGTAAATATCAATTTTGCGTGAATTATCTTTAGTAGTTACTAAAATACCGCAGTTTTCGTATTTCTGGAATTTACCGTTATATGGGAAGTGGGCGTGGTTACAGTCCGATTTCGCCCATTTTCAATACCAACCTACCTTGGATTAACGGAAACCTACATACCAAATTTCGTTGAGATATCTCAATTTTTGCTCGAGTTATCGTGTACACGGACGGACGGACAGACGGACAGACGGACGGACAGACAGACATGGCTTAATCGATTTCTTTTTTCATCCTGATCATTTATGTATACATTTGTCTATATCTATCTCGATTCGTTTTGGCTGTTACAAACAACCGTTATGTGAACAAAATTAATATACCCTTGTGCACAAGTGCGCTCGGGTATAAAAACATACAAACAACATTGCATTGGACGGCACACAGTACGACATAAATGTGTATGCAAATCATCCAGCAATATTAGGCTTATTTATTGTGCCTTAATATTATGTTACGGTAGACGTGTGCACAATTTCAGTGTCTGTTTTGAAATTCATCCTTTTATCATTAGGGGTGTTCACAATGTGGAGCATTTCTAATATAAAGCGTTTGTGGTAATTTGGCCCTTGAAATCATAGCTTCAAAGTGGGAAGATATAAAAGAGTACACATATATGTCTAAAGAACTTTTTTTGACTGTGGTAAAATTCTGCATAAAAGAAAACCGCTATTTTAAGTATAATGATAAAATATATGAGCAGCGTTCAGGTATGCCCATGGGATCTCCAGCATCACCAGTTATAGCGGACATCATTATGGAAGAGTTACTCAAAAAATTCGAACATTAGTCGGTCAATAAGCCACGACTTCTTACTAAGTACGTTGACGATTTATTCGCTATAGTTAAAACCGAGGACACAAACGACATGCTTACAATATTAAATCAATAAAATTCACAATAGAAAAAGAAAAAGAAGGAAAACTACCTTTTCTGGACACCCTAGTGATAAGGAGAAACAACGAAATTACTATAGACTTGCACAAAAAACCGATGGCTTCGGGCAGACTTGTAAATTTCAATTCTATGCAGGAAAAATGAATAATTGTAAACACTGCCAACAATTTCGTGAGACGAGTTCTCTCTATCAACGACAGAACATATCGCAACAAAAATATTTGCATTATTAAACAAGTAAGAAAGTCTAAGTTCGGGCGGAGCCGAACATTAAATACCCGGCGCAAGTATTAAATATATGTTTTTTCACCTTTCCGAAA